ATAACAATTTTTTTTAAGAAATCAATGATTTTCATAAAAGACAGACTGAAGAAAATACGCCGTTTTGTTTAGATCTAAATGGTCAAATTGTAAAAAGCTTACCCGAAAACTCTTACAAAAATTATTCCCGAAAAGAATTATTAGCGATTATTTTAATATCTGTTAGCTCAAAGTTTATAGTCACGCTATTGACGGTTGCTGTACTGAGTTTCAGAATCCTTTACTGAATAGGACATAAAATTTTTTCGATTTGCGAAAAGTTCTTATTGAGAACTTCTATAAACATTATTCTTTATTGCTATCATTATTGCTATCATTATATTTATATTTCTATTATTGAAAATTGTCTTATATACATACAGGGTGCACGATTTATCTGAAGACATTGAAATATCTCGAGAACTATGCATTGGATAAAAAAAAGTGGTTAATGAAAGTTGTTAGTCTCGAAGGGGGACATCCAATGATACCAAACTCGACCTCCCACCCCACCCCCTGGGGGTAACTTTGAAATCTTAAATGGAAACCCCCATTTTTTATTGCAGATACGGATTCTACGCCACAAAATACGTAAATTTTGTCCGAAACTTTTTTTTATTCGTGATAGATGGCGCTGTAATCGCAAAAAATTATATTTTCCGCAATTCTCCAGAAATGATCATTGGATTGAGAAATAAAAAATACCTGTTCAATATTTTTAAAGAACATAATAAAAGTTATTCCCCCCCCATCCTGTCGGGGTAGGGTGGGTGATAACGTTCAAATCTCAAATGGAGACCCATAATTTTCATTGCAGAATTAGATTGTACGTGAAATTTTTATTGAAACAATTTTTTTCATTCGTGATAGATAGCGTTGAATTTTTCCGAGAAACTACTTTTAGCGTTACACAGGAACAACGACGAGGACGTAGTAGTTTTATATTCCCTTCGTGTGCTTTTTTAATGTGAGTCCCCTTGCCTCTCACTGTTCAATTAATTAAGGTAAGTGTTAGAAATTTTTACCTTCAACTTCAATACACTTATTGATCCTTTTTTCAAATGACTGTACACAGGATAGAAGCATATCTGCGGGAGTTTCAGCGCAAGCGTTTCTTATGCGTTCTACCATGTTTTCACGAGTTGTTGGCACTTGTTGATAAACCTTATCTTTTAGGTAACCCCACAGAAAGAAATCCGGCGATGTCAAATCAGGCGACCTAGCAGGCCAATTAATCGGGCCACCTCTGCCAATCCACCGACCATTGTAATCACGGTCTAATACTTCCCGTGATCATTTCTGGAGAATTGCGGAAAATATAATTTTTTGCGATTACAGCGCCATTTATCACGAATAAAAAAAAAGTTTCGAACAAAATTTACGTATTTTGTGGCGTAGAATCCGTATCTGCAATAAAAAATGGGCGTTTCCATTTAAGATTTCAAAGTTGCCCCCAACCCCCACCCCCAGGGGGTGGGGTGGGAGGTCGAGTTTGGTATCATTGGATGTCCCCCTTCGAGACTAACAACTTTCATTAACCACTTTTTTTTATCCAATGCATAGTTCTCGAGATATTTCAATGTCTTCAGATAAATCGTGCACCCTGTATATATATACGTTAATATTACATCTGTATTTTTATTATAAAAATGATAATGATAAGATACTGATTTTAATAAAAACTTTTTAGCAATTATGGTTCATAGCATCTTACAAATCTTATAAAATTTATGATTCTGGAGCTATGATTACCGAAAATATTTGCGTTTTGAGTTAACAGATAAGCGATATATCAGACAATATCATTGGATTATTACTGCAATGTTACAATGTGACTATCATATGGCAACATAGTAGCAATATTACAACATTATTGCGCGATGATAAATCTCATTGCAATATCACAGGAATATTGCCGCTATATTCCAGCATGACAGACCGCCACGTAATATTCTTGATTATCGTCGCAGTACTGCAGTGTGAAACAATTTATATACAGGGTGTCCCATTTTAATGTCACATCACAAATATCTCAGAAACACTGCGTTAAATAAAAAAATGTTTCAGACAAAAGTTGTTTAGCTTGAAGGAGGACAAGAAAGCAATAGCATTTTGTTTATAAATGGCGCCACTTTTGAGATATTCACTGACAATTAATTTTCATAAATGGAAATCCGAATTTTTTATTATATTTTCTTTTTCTATCAATTAATTTGAACAATTTTTGTCTGAAACATTTTTTTATTTGGTTAATATTTTTTGAGATATTTAAGGAAAACTTGGTAACTTTTTCAACATTTAACTTACGATATCTCGCTAACTATTCGTCGATAGAAAAAATAGTATTAGACTTTTTTACTTTACTTACTATCAAGAATATATTATTATAATAGTGCCCTAACTTTTGTTAACTTATCGACCTTTGGAAATTTCAAAATTATTAAATTAATAAAAGTTAAGGCACTATTAATATATTTTTGATATTAAATAAAATAAAAAAGTCTAATGCTATTTTTTTTGTCGACGAATAGTTAGCGAGATATCGTAAGATAAATGTTGGAAAGTTACCAAGTTTTCCTTAAATATCTCAAAAAATATTAAGCAAATAAAATATGTTTCAGACGAAAGTTGTTCAAATTAATTGGTAGAAAAAGAAGATATAATAAAAAGTTGGGATTTTCATTTATAAAAATTGATTGTCAGTGAATATCTTGAAAGTGGCGCCATCTAATAACAAAATGCTATAGCTGTCTTATGTCCCCCTTCAAGTCAAACAACTTTTGTTTGAAACATTTTTTTATTTAACGCAGTGTTTCTAAAGCGTGGTCTACAATGGCCGTAATAATAAGCCATAATAATAAGAAGAAAGCGTGAACAGCAAGAAATGGACCAACCACAGTTGATTATTTTTGTCATAATCGACTGTGATTGGTTTATTTCTTACCGCTTACCCTTACTTCTTACTGCTTACTGCCATTGTAGACCACGCTTGAGATATTTTTGCGAGATTTATGCCTAGGACATTAAGTATTTTTGCAATATTGCTGTGATATTTATGCAATATTTCAGTAATATTCCTGCAATATTGCAGCAACATTTAAGAAATTTTGTAGCAACATTCCTGCATGATTGCAGTAATATTTCGGCAATATTTTGCAATTTTTCTGCAGTATTATGGCTATATTTCATAGGTATTCCTACAAGATTGTGGCGATATTTCAACAACATTGTGGCAATAGTCCTGTGATGTTGTGACAATATTCCTACAACATCATAACAATATTCCCGCAATATTTCTGCGAGACTTATGCCTAGGACATTAAATATTTCTGCAATATTGTTGTCATATTTATGCAATATTTTAGTAATATTCCTGTAACATTTCTGTAATATTCCTGCAATATTGCGGTGCTATGTGGGTAGTTTCAGGGAAATTTAAAGATGTAAATACTGCGTGTAGAAGCGTTACAACGTTGACCGGATTAAACCGCATTTTACCTTAAAAGTTATAAACATTGCACATACACTTATGTTAAAAATATGATAAATCACAATGCTAAAAAAGTAGTAAGATTTTATTATTGGATATAACATTTTTATCAAATTCTGTACCTTTTTTTATAAAGTCTAACTTCGTGAAATATGTTTCAGCAGATAACACCTAACAGAATCACGTTGTATGATATACTGGCAAAATCTTTTGAGATCTGTACTATACAGCTTTCCCATAAAAATGATGAAAAGGAGCAAGAAATTTTCCTGTACAACTCTGTAACAAAAGAAATAATTAAACAAAAAGCAAATAAACAAAGAGATATGTGGGAAATATTAATATTCCCAAATATTACAATATATTGAGAGAAATTTTAAACATAGGGATATATACTTACAAAATTGCAGTCACAAATAATATGTAGTGAAACAATGGAACGTATAAAACTATTAACGTTCGCTGCGATGCCTATTAGATTTTATATTATCAAATGTAACATATATCTCCATCCCACATCATGTTTATTCATTATTGCATAAACGGCTGACAATATGTTTCCCTGCACTCTGGATACAAACTTTACACATGGTCCATGATATGCCTATATAACATGTTTACAGTTAAGACCAACATCATACGTACAGTTTTGCAACGCATGATTTCATCAATGCGATATTTTTAGTATATGTAATCTATGGAATATTTGCGGTAATAAACATGACCTTAGAACTCTCATCTTGCAACTATGTGTATCGCTTCCGTCATAGCAATTACATCAACAGTAATTATAATCATGCACTACAAAAATAGGCAAACTTCTCATAAATAAGATTCCAGTTTCAAAAAAAAGATATATATATATATATATATACCTTTTCATGAAAACAAAGTGTGGGAATATATGACTATTGTCGTGCAACTAAAATAATTAATTTTATTGTTGTTGTCATATATTGAAATGTTTATGATTATATATTCTGCATATCAGTACTATCTTCCAGTCTCTTACTATGCAGAAGTTCGAAGAGACGTGTTACGTACACTTGTCGCATGATACAGGTGGCTACATATGGCGTTACGGATATGTAGACGTGTTCCCACGTATTTTTTGAAAAGTCCATATGTCGGAAAATGGCTTTATTATACATAGATGAATTCGGAATAAAAAATCGTTTCATTTCGTGGAAACGAAATTTTTCAATCATAAAAAAATTGGTAAGTGGTGGGAGTATGTTTAACATTTTAGCATTTTTTTTTAAACGGAAAACGCCATTATAAAACTCTTCAAACAATTGAATTTTTGTTAAAAGAGCTTTTTATTTCTTATACTTTTGACAATGCATGCTCCGAAAGAAAAAACCCGATTTTCCTTCCCCCTAAATATGCCATTGAGCACGTATAAAAAAATACGTGTCCTTTATTTTAGTCTACATTACAACATATTTCAAGCTCATCTGAATCGGAGAGGGACGGATCCATGTGTTTTCTTGTCAGTTAAAAATGAATTCTTTTACGAACGACATTGTAGATTGGAATAGTGGATCTCTTAACACATGCTGCTATCCAGCCGGATTACACAATAGGTCTCTCTATTGGTGAACTTATCTGTGAATATGTTGATGGACGTTTTACTATAGAAGAAACAATTTTAGCGGCATATTACATAGGCACAGCATTTGAGCAGGCTAAGTTGCAGGTTTTAATGACTTTGGAATTTATTAATTATTAATTTTCGCTATCCTTAGGTGAAGAGATATATATCAATCATTTGTATGTACAAAGCAATACATAAAATTAATCACCATTCCACAGGTTAATGACATTACTGCGAATCGATGTAAATACCTTAAAATTGTTAGGACAAAAATCTTGAAGCATTTCAGCCGAATATTACCAACGGAACCTTCAAAAAGCCGCAGAGTAACGCAGTTGGGTAAACCACAAAGTAAACGCGACTTGACTGAGACTGCTGCAGAATATTATGCAGACAATATCCTGAATCCAATACCATTAAAAGAAATTATAACTTTGATATCGAAAAGCACGGTACTCGTCGACATAGTACCGCACAATGCTTTTCAATCGATTATGACAAATTTGCTAGAATCAACGATAACATTCATTCCATTATATAAACGCGGCCAGAAACATACCATACAAAGCTTTTTAGAAGGAATTGGAGATCTTTATAATGTAGGACTTCAACCACAGATTGCAAATTTGTATCCACCAGTGCAATTTCCTGTTAGTCGCGGAACACCAATGATATCTCCTCTTATTAAGTGCGTCACCTTTCTCCTATATATAAGAAAAAGACTCACATTTCTTTATTTACATTATTTATTCTACAATAATATTGCAGATGGGATCATTCTGAAGACTATTATGTATTCCGTTATAAGGAGAAAAATAAAATTTTCAGCACTGAAAGAATCATCACTATTACACCCGATGATGAGGACTTCGAATATATGTATGGTCACGTGATAGATGAAAGAATTTTGTTACCTGTTACGAGTTGCCTTTACGAAATTTGGCGTACAATTGGCTCATTGAATGGCACTGACCATAAAAACATACCGATTGTATTTGAAAATATTAAATTCGTACGTGCTACTCATTTATCAAAACGAGATAAGCTGGAATTAACACTTGTGATCCAAGAAAGTAAATACTTTTGCAATTACTAGAGAATCGACTCTTTATATTCCTCTTCAGTCATATTGTGATGGAATATTAACTATATATAATCGACACTAAAAAATGAAATAAAATCAGTGAAAGTTGCAACGATACTCAACCCTCAAAAGAGAAAATAAGCAACAATAATTGATTTCAGAGGAAGAGCGGGATTATTTTGTAATAATCATAATATTCTTACAGGCAATAATACTTTCCAGATTCTCGAGAAAAGCAATGTAGTTGTTAGTGGTATCGTGAGGCTCCCTAACAATATCGCGAAGGAGAGGCTACAGTTTTTAGCTAAGAGTGACGATGCTGAGGAATGCATGAATACGTCAGATATTTACAAAAAACTACGAGTCTGTGGCTATCAGTATACCGGTTGGTATCGCTCGTTGAAAAGCGCCTCAATTAATGGGAGCGTAGGACATATCAAGTGGTCATCAAATTGGGTGGTGTTCATCGACAATATGATGCAAATGAAAAGCCTGCCGCTTGACTCGAGAAATGTTATATACATAACGACTCATATTCGCAAATTGGTAATCGATCCCGAATTTCACATAAGGCAGCTTCCTAAACTTTCAATAGAAGAGAGAAGTAAGTTAGCGCTCAGTTTTTATTTTGAAACAATTCCATATTCCAACATAATCCGCTCTATTCTCTCTCTCCTCCCTCTCCCTATCTCTCCCCCTCCCCCTCTCCCTCTTCCTCCCCCTCTTCCTCCCCCTCTTCCTCTCCATCTCTTTTTCCCACTCACTGTCCCTCTCCCTCTCCTTCTCCCTCTCCCCTCCTTCCCCTCCCCTCCCCACCTCCTTCCCCTCTCTCTCTCATCTCAAATTTTATTATAGACATACCTGTGCGTATCTACGACTCTCTCGATGCCATTGTATCCGGAGGTATAGAAATTTATGGACAGAGGTTCGTAGCCATATCACGTCGGCCAGCAAACATCAAACCTGTGCATGAGGAATACAAGTTCATTGGTTACCGCGATCATACTACGATCTCCTTAAAAGATGCAGTGCAAATATCAATACAAATCGCACTTGAATGTCACGAATTGAGAAACGTCAAAGTGATCGAGGTCGTTGAAGACGATGACAAAATTTTGCTGGAGGATCTAATTACTCCAATTATACACGAAGTTCTAAGCAACTTGCCGTTAGTACAATCTAATCTCACGTTGGTTGCGACGAAAAATAGATTCCACAGTTCCTTATTACCTGAAAATCTATTAGTCATACAACCTAACAATGTATTGAAGGATGATACGTTCCTAATGGTCATTGGCGTCGGAATATTAACGAAAGGTGGACACACATTACTATCCAATGTAATGGCTGGAGGTTTTCTGTTTACCCGGGAGGATCTTAACGCCACGTACGACAACGAGCTTTTGCAACAGTACAATTTGAATATTATTTTAGAGAAACGCACAGAACGGGAATCGGTGTTACTTTTAAGAAAGACACAAAATGTTATAATGAGACGAGAAGTCGTGTACATAAATAATTACGAGTTCTCGTGGATCAAAAAGCTTAAATCCGTAATGGAGGTTGTCGACGAGACGAACTCAAGAATAACACTCGTTGCTGAAGGTGATCCTGAAAGCGGTGTTTTAGGATTTGTAAATTGTTTGCGAAGGGAACCAGGCGGCAAAACAGTTAGATGTGTCTTCATTCAAGACGAACACGCGTGCAAGTTCTCCTTGCAAACACCTTTCTACATGAATCATTTACTACTTGATTTACCAATGAACGTCTTACGTCCGGGCAAAGTTTGGGGTTCTTACAGGCATTTGCCATTACCGCCTCCGGAACCGGTACTTGTGCAATGCGGTTATGTCACTCAGGCGGTAAGTAAATGTTTATAGGAAAACTGAAATATATGTAAAGTTTTGTCTACCCCAGTGTACGGCAAAACGCACAAGAAAATAATTCGATTCGTTTCAACTAACATTTCTTTACAACTAAAGGTTTCTGCACAAATTAAATAGAAAGTGGATCCCAGTCAATTTCGCTAAAAATGTAGTATGTCATTTTTTATGGCTTTCTGATCAAAAGACGCCATGGACACAAAACTAAAAAATGGCCAGATCTCGAGATATTGAGGGCCAAAGACTGACCATGTGCCGTTGAAGGGCATTCAGGCTGTTGTGGGGCATTTGCTGGCTCATTTATTTTATATTGATAGTGTTTATAGTATTCTCTTATCTTCACTTATAAACACTATAACATAAATGTATTGGGTATGGGAATAAGTTTCCGCCCTTTTCAGAAAGATATCGTTAGGTACTAATTTCGTGTTTGTTGGAAGTGCTATACTTGTGTTTTGAAGATGAATTTGTGAACTTTGAATCACAGTAGTAAACATTCGTTTGAAACGTAAACATAATTCTTTTCTTGCGTTGAAAATGGCAACATTTACCTCAACGAAGCAGCATTTGCAGGAAGTGTTACTTCATTACTATATTCTGAAGAAAAGTGCTGCTGAAATGCATCGAATGCTTGTTGATATTTACGGCGATCATGCTCCGTCGAGTATTAGAATATAAAGAGTGGTTTCGGCGTTTTCGAAGTGGTGATTATGACGTGAACGACCGAGGACGCGAAGGGACACCTAACAAATTCAAAGATGCATAACTGCAAGATTTACTCGAAGAAGATCCAAGTTGAACGCTCGTAGATTTTTCAAACGAGTTAAATATTAATAGATCTACCGCCAGAAAGCATTTACATGCGTTGGGAATAGTTCAAAAGTCAGGAAATTGAGTGCCACATAAATTGAAGGAGAGAGACATTGAAAAACGTCTGATAACGTGCGAGATGCTGCTTCAAAGACAAAAAAGGAAGGGTTTTCTGCATCGAATTGTCACTAGCGATGAAATATGGATCTACTACAACCCCAACGACTGAAATCATATGTGATGCCAAGTGAATTAGGTCCATCAATTTCAAAACGAAATATCCACGGTTCGAAAGTTATATTATGCATCTGGTGGGATCAAAAGGGCGTTATTTATTATGAGCTTCTAAAACCGTCCAAAACCATCACTGGCGATCGTTACCGACTGCAGTTAATACATTTCAACCGAGCATTAAACGAGAAACGACCGGAATGGGATAATAGACATAACCAGCTGATTTTGCTACACGACAATGCTAGGCCCCACGTTGCAAAACCGGTCCAAAAATACTTGGAAGGATTGAATTGGGAAATCTTGCCTCACCCGCCGTATTCATCAGATAATAACCTTTTTAAACAAAAAGGTAAAAAAAGGCGCCAAGTACAAGTGCAACACGTATTGTGCTATTTTTAGAAATTTCAAATTCAAATTATTTTTTTTAAGTATATACCAGGTGTGTCGGTAATTCCTTTCCGGTTTTTTCGCTAAAGAAAACACGTTATTTACAATGGATAGTTAAAATATATTTATTCAAAGTATTGGCCATTTGATTCTATACATTTTGTCCATCTCTCAGGCAATTTATGGATATCATTCCAAAAGAACTGTTTCTCCTTTGAGCTAAACCATTCATCGAGCCATTTTTTAACTTCTTCGAAATCGGCGAAGTACTGCTCTGCAAGCGCGGGCCCCATCGATGAGAAAAGATGGTAATCGGATGGAGCCAGGTCTGGAGAGTACGGCGGGTGCGATAAAACTTCCTATCCAAGTGATTTCAACACTTCTTTGACTGGTTTTGCTGTATGAGACGGCGCGTTGTCATGCTGCAAAATCACCTTATCATGTCTTTGAGCGTATTGTGGACGTTTTTCGATCAATGCACAGTTCAAATTGATCATTTGTTGTTGGTAGCGATCAGTATTAACTGTTTCTCCAGGTTTCAACAGTTCATAATATATGACACCAACCTGGTCCCACCAGACACAGAGCATGGTCTTGCGACCAAAGCAATTTGGCCTTGCAGTCGATGGGCCGCCTTCGCCAGGTGATAACCATGATTTTTTTCGCTTGGGATTTTCGAAATAAATCCATTTTTCATCACCCGTTACTATTCGATGCAGAAATGAGTTCCTTTCATACTTTTGAAGCAGCGTTTCACTGACGATTTTTCGATTTTCCAATTGCCTGTCATTCAATTCATGTAGCACCCATCTTCCCATCTTTTGGATCTTTCCCATCGCTTGTAATCGTTTACAAATTGCTACTCGGCTCACATTCAACTTTTCTGCCAATTGTTTTTGAGTTTGTGTTGGGTCTTCATCCAATAACTCCTGCAATTCCGCATCTTCAAACGTTTTCGGCCTATCGGGACGTTTTTTGTCTTGAACGTTGACATCACCACATTTGAATTGTCGAAACCACGTTTCACATGTTCTTATGGTTGGAGTATGCTCACCATAAGTCTCTACCAGCAAACGATGACTTTCAGCGGCTTTTTCCTTTTGATTAAACAAGAAAAGTAATGCGTGCCGCAAATGCACGTTTTCAGGCACAAAACTCGACATTTTCAAAAAATTATTAATCTATAACGCTGTTATTTTGGCGGAAAGTAACTTGTGCAGTTTTGAGGTTAATGTCAGTAGAATAAAATGACATTTGTATCAAATCATAACATTGCATACTTATGGTTAGTGACATCTGTTACAAAAACCGGAAAGTAATTACCGACATACCTGGTATATGTACATAAGTTTTTAAAAGTAAAACTTATACAAAAAAAGTGATATATTAAAACAGTAGCGCCAATTGAGAAATCGTATACTTAATATTTTTAGAAATCTCAAAATCAAATTATTTCCTTTTTTTAAGATATATATTATGTACAGAACATAAGTTTTTACAATTAAAAATGATATCATGTTATAAAAATTTAACACGTTTATTAATAGTGACCAATATTTAATTTATTATTATTTATTATAACACTGAGTTATATGATTGTTTTACTTGTTATTATAATGTACTTAACATAACTTTTTACAAGTAAAAGTGATATCGTGTTATAAAATTTTAACACGTTTATTAATAGTGTTCAATATTTAAAAAAGATATCTTTTTAAAGGTTATTATTACAAATTCAAATTATATTTTTTAAGTATATATGTGTACATAACATAAGTTTTTACAAGTAAAACTTATACAAAAGAAGTGATATATTAAAACAGTAACGCCAACTGAGAAATCATATACTTAATATTTTTAGAAATCTCAAATTCAAATTATTTCCTTTTTTTAAGATATATATTAATTATGTACATAACATAAGTTTTTACAAGTAAAAATGATATTTATTAGAACACTGAGTTATATGATTATTTTACTTGTTATTATAATGTACATAACATAAGTTTTTACAAGTAAGAATTATATCGTGTTATAAAAATTTAACACGTTTATTAATAGTGTCCAATATTTTAAAAAGATATCTTTTTAAAGGTTATTATTATTCAAGAAAATTCAAGAAAAACTAACTACAAAAGATGTCAATAACATAAATTTTTACAAAATTTATCATTATTTATTAGAACACTGAGTTATATGATTATTTTACTTGTTATTATAACAAATTAATTATTATAACAATGCAATAAAAAATATTTAATTCAAAAAATCTTGGCGCGGCTGCACCAAAAACTATATCGAACTAAAACTTGTTTAATACATACATGACAGCATTTTTATTGTAATAAAATGTACTTGTAAATTCTCTGTCCATATATACGGTGTAATGTTTTATATCTAATTTGACTTTTATGTATATACATCTTCGATATAGTTTTTGGTGCAGCCGCGCCAAGATTTTTTGAATTAAATATTTTTTATTGCATTGTTATAATAATTAATTTGTTATAATAACAAGTAAAATAATCATATAACTCAGTGTTCTAATAAATAATGATAAATTTTGTAAAAATTTATGTTATTGACATCTTTTGTAGTTAGTTTTTCTTGAATTTTCTTGAATAATAATAACCTTTAAAAAGATATCTTTTTAAAATATTGGACACTATTAATAAACGTGTTAAATTTTTATAACACGATATAATTTTTACTTGTAAAAACTTATGTTATGTACATTATAATAACAAGTAAAATAATCATATAACTCAGTGTTCTAATAAATATCATTTTTACTTGTAAAAACTTATGTTATGTACATAATTAATATATATCTTAAAAAAAGGAAATAATTTGAATTTGAGATTTCTAAAAATATTAAGTATATGATTTCTCAGTTGGCGTTACTGTTTTAATATATCACTTCTTTTGTATAAGTTTTACTTGTAAAAACTTATGTTATGTACACATATATACTTAAAAAAATAATTTGAATTTGTAATAATAACCTTTAAAAATATATCTTTTTTAAATATTGAATATTATTAATAAACGTATTAAAATTTTATAACACGATATCATTTTTACTTGTAAAAAGTTATGTTAAGTACATTATAATAACAAGTAAAACAATCATATAACTCAGTGTTATAATAAATAATGATAAGTTAAATATTGGACACTACTAATAAACGTGTTAAATTTTTATAACATGATATCATTTTTACTTGTAAAAACTTATGTTATGTACATAATATATATCTTAAAAAAAGGAAATAATTTGAATTTGAGATTTCTAAAAATATTAAATATACGACTTCTCAGTTGGCGCTATTGTTTTAATATATCCCTTTTTTTGTATAAGTTTTACTTTTAAAAACTTATGTTATGTACACATATATACTAAAAAAAAAAATAATTTGAATTTGAAATTTCTAAAAATAGCACAATACGTGTTGCGCTTGTACTTGGCGCCTTTTTTTACCTTTTTGTTTAAAAAGGTTATTATAATAAATTTTACATGTAAACGTTTTTACTTGTAAAAAGTTATG